ATATTTTCTCCTTCCCTTAATAGTGTATATTTATATAATGCTATAAACCACTGTATTTAAATATGTATGTGGTTATCTTGATGATAATGTATGTGGTTATCTTGATAATAATGTATGTTGTTATCTTGATAACGACATTACAAGTTGAGAATCCCTTTATCCAAAATGCTTAGGACCAGACGTCATTTGGGATTTCCCCAGATTTTAGAATATTTGCATACATATAGTGAGACATCTTGGAGAGGGCTCTAAACACGAAATTCATCGATGTTTCATATATACCTCATACAATGGCCTGAAGGGAATTTTATACTCAATATTTTAAATTCTTTTGGGCATGCAACGAAGTTTGTACGCACTGAGTCATCAGAAAGCAAAAGTATCATTATCTCAGCCATGAAACAACTTCAGTTTTGGGTTTGGAAGCATTTTGCATTTCTGGTTGAGAGACATTCATGGAATCATAAGAACTGGAAGAGATCATAAGGGTCATCCAGATCCACCATCCTTTTGCCCTGCAGGATAATACAATCAAAGCACTCCTTACAGATGGCTATCCAGCCTCTGCTTTAAAACTCCAGAGAAGGAGACCCCACCACACTCTGAAGCATTTTGTCGCCCTTCTCTAGACCTTTCGCCTTTTTCATATCCTTCAAGCTGGTAGTGGAAGTGGTAATAAAATCAATTGAAATATTTTTTTTTATCGTGTCAGAAGCAACTTGAGAACATACTGCAGGTCACTTATGGAGTGAGAGAATCGGTCATCTACAAAGACGTCGTCCAGGGGATGCCCAAATGTGTTACCATCCTGTAAGAAGCTTCTCTCATGTCCTCACATGGGAAGCTCACCCCATCTCTCAGATTCAAACCGCCGGCCTTCAGGTCAGCAGTTCAGCCAGCACAAGGGTTTAACCCACTGTGCCATCACAGCTCCCTAATTATAATGATAATGATCCAGCATTAGGGCACATATACTTTTCTAAAGTATAAAGGCTGAGCGAAGGAAGATAGATGCTTTTGAGCTGTGGTGTTGGAGGAAAGTTCTGAGAGTGCCTTGGACTGCGAGAAGATCCAACCAGTCCATCCTCCAGGAAATAAAGCCCGGCTGCTCACTGGAGGGAAGGATACTAGAGACAAAGCTGAAGTACTTTGGCCATAGCATGAGGAGACAGCAAAGCCTAGAGAAGACAACTATGCTGGGGAAAGTGGAAGCCAAAAGGAAGAGGGGCCGACCAAGGGCAAGATGGATGGATGGCATCCTTGAAGTGACTGGACTGACCTTGAAGGAGCTGGGGGTGGTGACGGCCGACAGGGAGCTCTGGCGTGGGCTGGTCCATGAGGTCACGAAGAGTCGGAGACGACTGAACGAATGAACAACACAACTTTTCTAAAAAAGGAACCAAATCCCACCTGATCTTGAATGCTGAGAAGGGCCAGCCCAAGCTATTACTTGGTTGGGAGACCAACAACAAATGATCAGTCTTAAATGGGGGTATTTTAGTAAGAGGGATGGTTTTAACACTTTAATGCTTTTATTCCAGCAAGAGCAGCTATTTTAGATGCTGATGTTGTGATAATAATACACTTTATTTGTATCCCACCCTATTCCCCCCAGTGGGGACTCAGGGCGGCCAACAACATATAACGGCAAATATTCGATGCCATATAATGCAATCAACTAATAAACAAAACATACATTTTTTTAAAAAATCCAACATTAAACAATGACATCAAACAATAATGAGACAATAATGTTATACTCAGTTCTTGTGGGTTTTTTCGGGCTATATGGCCATGTTCTAGAGGCATTTCTCCTGACGTTTCGCCTGCATCTATGGCAAGCTTCCTCAGAGGTCTGCTGGAGCTGGGAAAAAGGGGTTTATATATCTGATATATATCAGATATATAAACCCCTTTTTCCCAGCTCCAGCAGACCTCTGAGGAAGCTTGCCATAGATGCAGGCGAAACGTCAGGAGAAATGCCTCTAGAACATGGCCATATAGCCTGAAAAAACCCACAAGAACTGAGTGATTCTGGCCATGAAAGCCTTCGACAATAATGTTATATTCCTACATGTTTTCAGTTCTATTTTAAGTTATGTTAATTTGACCTATGTACTATTTTTTGTATTGTTTTAACTGTTACTTGCTGTAAGCCGCCCTGAGTCCCTTCTGGGAGAGGGAGCGGGATATAAATACAACTTACTATTATTATTATATGTCAGAGGATGGGATGGACAAAATATCGGTATTCCTGGCTTAAGAAAGAGATATGAAATTCACAGGCAGCATTAAGATTTACATTTTAATGCATTTACCTTGATTTAAATGCATTGTGTCATGTTTGCTGTTAGCTGCCTTGAGAGTCCTCATATTGGGAGAAAGGTAGGACAACAATAGAACCATAGAATACTAGAGTTGAAATAGTCCAACCCCCTGCCATGCAGGAAAAACACTATCAAAGTAGCCCTGACAGATGGCCTTCAAGCCTCTGTTTAAAGCTTCCAAGAAAGGTGCTTCCACCACACTCCAAGGCAGAGAGTTCCACTGCTGAACAGCTCCTACAGTCAGGAAGTTCTTCCTAATGTTCAGATGGAATCTCTTTTCCTGAAATTTGAATCCATTGCTCCTTGTCCTAGTTTTCAGGGCAGCAGAAAAGAAGCCCGCTCCCTCTTCCTTATGGCACCCTTTCACATATTTATACATGGCAATCATGTCTCCCGACGCCGTCAACCTTCGCTTCTCCAGCTAAACAGATCCAGTTCTTTAAGACGCTCCTCATAGGGCATTTTAGTCGCCCTCCTCTGGACACCTACCAGCTTGTCAATAGAAGTAAGGAACTAAATAATTCAATAAATATAATTATTATACTGCCCCTTCCCTGTTATCTTTCAAGAACCAGTTGAAGTTCTACCTGTTCAAGCAAACTTTTGAGGAATGAATTCAATTGCTAATCTATTTATTTATTTACCCTATTTGTATCCTGCCTTTCTCACCCCTGAGTGACTCAAGGCAGCCTTAAAACAGGCAACTATTTGATGCCATACACAAATCTATATAAATAAAAATGTAGTTTGTTTGTGGGATTAACATAACTCAAAAACCACTGGACAAATTGACACCAAATTTGGACACAATACATCTATCAGGCCAACGAGTGACCATCACTCATAAAAACACAGTGGAAGGGCTTTAAAAGCCACAAAAGCAAAAAGGCACTACAGCACACGTGAAAAAAAGACTGCTCCTGGCAAACAAAACACACAATAGCATATTCACACTCTCTTCCAAACTACAGCTCTCAGCATTCCCTCTAGTAGAACTATCTAGTAGTACTAGTAATACTATCAATTTATTTTTAATTTATTTACAGTATTTATATTCCACCCTTCTCACCCTGCAGGGGACTCAGGGCGTAGATTACAATGCACATATATATGGCAAACATTCAATGCCATTAGATATACAACATATATAGACAGACACAGAGGCAATTTAACATTCCAGCTTTCTGGCTTCATGAGGGTATGCTCGATTCCGGCCATAGGGAGCTGCCGCTTCACCGTCCACTTGTGACAACGAGTCCTTTCATGGAGTACTTCCTCATTCTTCCACACACTGCTGGAACGTTTTATGGCGTCGTAAATTAGTTAAATGAGCTTCCCTAGAATCATAGAATCAAAGAGTTGGAAGAGACCTCATGGGCCATCCAGTCCAACCCCCTGCCAAGAAGCAGGAATATTGCATTCAAATCACCCCTGACAGATGGCCATCCAGCCTCTGTTTAAAAGCTTCCAAAGAAGGAGCCTCCACCACACTCTGGGGCAGAGAGTTCCACTGCTGAACGGCTCTCACAGTCAGGAAGTTCTTCCTCATGTTCAGGTGGAATCTCCTCTCTTGTAGTTTGAAGCCATGGCTCCATCGTGTCTCCAGGGAAGCAGAAAACAAGCTTGCTCCCTCCTCCTGTGGCTTCCTCTCACATATTTATACATGGCTATCATATCTCCTCTCATCCTTCTCTTCTCCAGGCTAAACATGCCCAGCTCCTTAAGCTGCTCCTCATAGGGCTTGTTCTCCAGACCCTTGATCATTTTAGTCGCCCTCCTCTGGACACATTCCAGCCTGTCAACATCTCCCTTCAATTGTGGTGCCCAGAATTGGACACTGTATTCCAGACGTAGTCTATCCAAGGCAAAATAGAGGGGTAACATGACTTCCCTGGATCTAGACACTATGCTCCTATTGCTGCAGGCCAAAATCCCATTGGCTTTTTTTGCCGCCGCATCACATTGTTGGCTCATGTTTAACTTGTTGTTCACGAGGACTCCAAGATCTTTTTCACACTACTGCTCACGAGCCAGGCGTCCCCCATTCTGTATCTTTGCATTTGCATCTAAACAACAACCCAGTATCTAAATTGCGTACTTGACAGACGCAACTGTCGTTTGGGCTGCATAGGTCAACAGCAAGCTAGACTATTAATGGTCGGGGCTCACTCCGACCCGGGCTGGCTTCGAACTCATGACCTCTCAGTCAGTCAGTGATTTAATGCAGCGGGCTACTAACTAGCTGCGCCACAGTAATACAATTTATAGTAATACTACTATTACTAGTAATAATACTTTTGTCCCACCTCCTAAAATGGCTCCAAAACAGTCCCCTGGCACTGTTCCTGCCTATGTGCAGAGTGCAAACTCCCTTCTACATAAACAGCAGCAGGTTTGGATGCATCTACACTGTAGCTTTAACCCAGTTTGGTACCACAGCTAAGGCAGGGAATAATGGGAGTTGTAGTTCTGCATTTCTTGAGGATGCTAATGTCACTGGCGAACTACATCTCCCACAATTCGAGGTATAATGTTCTGTAACATAGGCGCGACTCTGGATTATTACTTTCTCGGCCTGGATCCGGAGGCGCCGGAGGCCCCGAGAAAGCCGCGGCCTCTCGTGCCGCGCTTCCCGGCCTCAAGGAGCGGGGAGGCGGCTTGCTCCTTTCTTACCTGCCGGTAGCGGAGGCGGAAAGGCCTGATGTATTGCGAGCCGGCGCAAGGCCCCAGGGAGAGCTCCTCCAAGGACTCCATGGCGGGTGGAAGGAGGGAAGGCGGAAGGCGGCAATTCAGCCCGGTGCGGCCGGCCTGTCAGCCTGGAGGGAGCCGCAGGAGAGAGGCGAGGAGGGAGGAGGAGGAGGAGGAAGAGGCCGCGGGAGAGCAGGCCCAGGCTGAAAACGTCCACACAGAAACCTTGTTGTTGTTGTTTGTGAGGGGTGCTGTTCCCCACTGAGCAGGCCTGGGCCAACTTCGGCCCTCCAGGTGTTTTGGACTCCAACTCCCACAATTCCTAACAGCCTACCGGCTGTTAGGAATTGTGGGAGTTGGAGTCCAAAACACCTGGAGGGCCGAAGTTGGCCCAGGCCTGCTCAGTGGGTTTCCCCTCAAGACCTGCATTGCAATAGCTGCAATTGTTGACATAGTGACATCCAAACATAAATACACAGATCCTCAATATATATGCAGGACCATGAAATGTGTGTGAGTGTGTCTATATACACACACAAATATAAGTAGATAGATATACACACAAACATACACACCTTCTATAGCAACCTGGCCATTCATATCTATATCTGTATCTATCTATCTATCTATCTATCTATCTATCTATCTATCTATCTATCTATATCTCTATATCTCTATCTATCTATATATATCTATATCTGTATCTATCTATATCTGTATCTATCTATATCTCTATCTATCTATATCTGCATCTATATATCTATCTATATCTGCATCTATCTATCTATCTATCTATCTATCTATATCTGTATCTATCTATATCTCTATCTATCTATCTATCTATCTATATCTGTATCTGTATCTGTATCTGTATCTCTATCTGTATCTCTATCTATCTATCTATCTATCTATCTCTGTATCTATCTATCTATCTATCTATCTGTATCTGTATCTATCTATCTATCTATCTATATCTGTATCTATCTATATCTGTATCTATCTATATCTGTATCTATCTATGTATGTATCTATCTATCTATATCTGTATCTGTATCTATCTATCTATCTATCTATCTATCTATCTATCTATCTATCTATCTGTCTATCTATCTGTATCTATCTATCTATCTATCTATCTATCTATCTATATCTGTATCTATCTATATCTCTATCTTTTTTTTTAATAAGTTTTTATTAGTTTATCACAATTATTACATACTATTGCATTTTCTACATCAACCTCTTTAACATGTTATTTTGTTGTTTTGCTTTGACATTCCTCCCCTTTTTTTTTCTCTTTTTTTTTTTTTCCCCACCTCCGTGCTCCCCTCCACCCGTTTCAAGCCACATTTCTTACATTTCATCAGTCCAAAATTTCATTTCTTCTTGTGACGGTAATTTTCCTTCCTTATTTTTTAATCCATTTATCACAAATTTCCCCCATATAGCATCAAAATCACTTTGTTTCCATATACCTTTTTTAACCTTTAATATACATGTCAGTTTATCGTTTAAAGCTAATTTCCATGCTTCCTTATACCACTCCTCTATTTGTATATTCATTTCTTTTTTCCAATTCCTTGCTATGAGCAGTCTTGCTATAGTTAGTAAATTTGTTATCGCTTCTTTATCCTCCTTTTTCAATTGCTTATTGGTATATAATGATAGTAAGGCTATACTAGGACTTTTATCTATTTTCATATTCATTATAATTTCTATTTCTCTAAATACTTTCTCCCAAAAATTATTTACATATTTACATTGCCACCACATATGTATATATGTTCCTGGTTCTTGACACCCTCTCCAACAATTTGTTGAATTATTCTTATTCATATATGCTATTCTTACCGGTGTTAAATACCACTTCCATATTAACTTATAATAATTTTCTTTAACTCGTATCGATAAATTTTTTAAATGTCTTTGTCCCCATAGTTGCCACTCTATTTCACTTATTTTTATCCCTAAATCCTCTTCCCAAATCTCCTTAAGGGTACACTTTTTTATTTTTCCATCCCTCATTTCAATTAGTATCTTATAGATTTTGCTAATTATACCTCTCAAGTTTTCATGTTCTTCTACTGCCCTTCCCTTCTGTATTATTTGTTCGAATTGATTAAGTTGGCCTCCATTTCTATTATTCTTTTTCCAATTTATTAACCATTGTTCTAATTGTATACAGTGAAACCATGATAATTTTATTTCTTTAAACTCTTCCAACATCCTTTCCCTCTTCATTTCCACTTTCATCCAATCCCCTATTCTATCTAAATTTATTTCCCTTACCTTTTTATCCATTACTTTTTTTAAATTTTTTGGGAATTTCTTTTCCATCACTATTGGGGTAATAATTGATCCTTCCTTTATTAACCTCCCCTTGTACTTATTCCATACTTTCAGTATGTTACTCAACATTGGGTTTCTAATTTCCTTCAATTCTGTTCTAGTAAGCTGTTTAAAAAATATATTCCAGGTTTCATCTTCCACTTTTCCTGAATCATTACTAAGCCAGTCTATTCCCTTTTTTTTAACCATTCCTTCTATAACCAGATTTAGTCTACTTGCATCATAATATTTTTTTATATTAGGTAATGCTAGTCCACCCTCCTTTTGCGATCTATACCATATTTGTTTATTTAGTCTATTTTTCTTACTTCCATTGCAGTACTTATTAATCATTTGTTGCCATCTAGTTAGTTCTTCCTCTGTGATTTGAAGTGGTAGCATCCTAAATATAAAATTTATTTTTGGAAGTATTTTCATTTTTACTAATGCTATTCTTCCAAACCAGGATAAATGTATACCTTCGTACTCTATTAACTTTTTCTGAACTTCTTTTCTTAAAGTTACTACATTTTCTTCCTCTATCTCTTTTAAATCTTTAGTTATTATTACTCCCAAATATTTTAATTTATTCTTAATTCTTATTCCCGTTTTTCTTTGTTCTATGATTTTTTCTTCTTCTTCTCTTGTATAATTGAGTAGCATCATTTCTGACTTGTTCCAATTAACTTGTAAACCCGTTGCTTTCCCAAATGTCTCCAAATGTTCTTTTATTCTATCTATTTTCTCCACTATATTTTCTATAAATAACAATGTATCGTCAGCAAATAAGCTCACCTTCTGTTTCTCCTTTTTTCCTAATCCCTCTAAGTTTTTATCATTCCTTATATTATTAGCAAAAAGTTCTATCACCATAGCAAATAATATCGGGGACAAAGGGCACCCTTGTCTAGTTCCTCTAGTCACTTGTATTTCATTTGTCACTCCATCATTTATAGTACTGCCGAATTCCTTGAATAAAATTGTTTTAGTACTCCTTTTATTCTATTTCCCATTCCAAATTTATTCAATATTTCCCTTAATGTCTCCCATTCCACACAATCGAACGCTTTAAAAATATCTAATGATAATATCCCTGCCTTTCCCTTCCCTTCTTTGGCCCAATGAATTTTATTTAGTACTCTCCCTGTCAAATTTGACATTTGTCTTCCTTTTATAAACCCACACTGGTCATCTTTTATATACTTATACATACATTTATTCATTCTATTAGCTAATATCGCGGATAATATCTTTGCGTCTTGGTTTATTAATGATATGGGTCTATATGACCCTGGGTCTGTTAAGTCTTTATCAGGTTTGGGTATTAATATTATTAATGATCTCCTCCATGAGTCGGGTATTTTATCTCCCTTCATTATTCCATTATACAATTCCAATAATTTTGGGGTTAAAACTTCTCTAAAGCTTTTATAATATTCCGTCCCTAGACCATCCAAGCCTGGGGCTTTTCCTACTTTTAATTTATTAATGACTTCCTCTATTTCTTTTTTCTTAATAGGTTGTTCCAATAACTCTTTATCTTTCTCCTCCAGCTTACTCTCCCAATTTTCTTCCACATATTTCCTAATTGCTTCTATGGGACTTGCTTTAGTTTGATATAGGTTTTATAAAATTCCTCAAATACTTTCAATTTTTCTTTCATAGCTCTACATAATTTACCTGTTTTATCTTTTATCGTGTTTATCGTTCCTTCCATTTTCTTTTTCTGTGTTGATTTAGCTAGGATCTTTGAATTCCTATCACTAAACTCAAAATATTCCCTCCTTAAATAAATTAAGTTTTCTTGTACTTCATCTATTTCCATTTTATCCAATTCCTCTTTTTTTGCTCTTAACCTAGCATAAATTCGTGTATCTCTCTTTATTACATATGCTTTTTCAATCTCTTCTATTTCTCTTTCTAAATTCCTTTTCCTTTCTTCTTGCCTTCTCTTTAAATTAATTGTCTCTTTTATACATAACCCTCTGGTCACTGCTTTCATAGTGTCCCATAGAACTCCTTTTGTCACCCCCTTTTCATTAAAGCCCCATATTTCTTGCCATTCTGCTTGCACTTTATCTACTATCTCTTTATGATTTAGTATTCTTGTATTTAACCTCCACCTTTTCATTTTGTCATAATCACATTTAACGCAACCTCAATTGAAACCAAAGCGTGATCCGAAATCTTAATCATACCTATATCAGCATTTAGCACTTTACTTGTCATGTTTTTGGAGACAAAAATATAATCAATTCTTGTATACACCTTATGTACTGATGAATAATATGTATATCTACTTTCATTCCCTTTTACCAATCTCCACACATCCTTTAATTGCCATTTATTCATTACTCTGCTTAATTCCGTTGTTTCAATGTTTCTAGCTTTTGATGCTATCGTAGTTTTATCCTTCTTTAAATCCATACAGCAATTACAATCTCCTCCAAATATTACATTTTGTTGATGGTAATTCTCTATTTGCTCTAACACTTTTTCATAAAATTCTTGCTGTTTCTCAAATAACCATGTCTTTAGGCTCTTACGGAATGCCATCAGGGAGGGCGCCTGTCTGATATCTACAGGGAGGGCGTTCCACAGCCGGGGGGCCACCACCGAGAAGGCCCTATCTCTCGTCCCCGCCAGACGTGCCTGTGAGGCAGGCGGGATCGAGAGAAGGGCCTCCCCAGACGATCTCAAGGTCCTCGTGGGCTCATAGGCCGAGATGCGGTCAGCAAGGTATTTTGGGCCGGAACCGTTTAGGGCTTTGTAGGCCAGCACCAGCACCTTGAATTGGGCCCGGTAGCAGATCGGCAGCCAGTGGAGCTGGAACAACAAGGGCGTTGTGTGCTCCCTGCGTCCCGCTCCTGTTAGTAACATGGCTGCCGCGCGCTGGACTAGCTGAAGCTTCCGGGCCGTCTTCAAGGGCAGCCCCACGTAGAGAGCGTTGCCTGGAT